TGCCTAAGAACAGCGATAAGACTATTGATCCCATGACCGTCGGCAAAGTGCTTCACGAACACGGTGGGGATCTCCTCCAGGTGTTCCTCAACCTAGCACAACAAGGGTTGGTGTCCTTCCAGAACTTCGACGATCTCAACGGAATCTGCACTGCTCTTCGCGAGACGCGAAACGAGGAGATGAAGAAGCTGGTGTCTAGCCTTCCAAGCACATCCGAAGGGCTGCCTTCGAGCCCGGAGCGTGGCTTCACTAATGCACAACCGTCCGATACTGTCTTCGGCACCCGGCGACCAGCATTTGGTAAGCGATGCGCAACCTCTGTAACTGGCCCTGCGCCTCTGACTACCGTGTCCAAGACTGTGGCAAAGTTGCCAGAGTCTCCACGCAGCTCTCCGCGTGGCGAGACCAAGAAAGTCAGCGTCCCGGAACCTTTCATTCGAGCAGTTGCCAACCCAGTCAAGATTACAAGGCCTCCCGATATGATTACAAGCCATGCTGACCGAATAGTCGACACTGCTGCCCAGTCTCTATCGAGCCCTCCGCAAGCCGCACCCAGCACTCCTGATAAAGGAACAAACTCTTATGGGTCACTGAGATCCCCGCCACAAGCACCGCCGGTAGATCCTATGGACAAGGTCATAACTTGGCCCACTCAAGAGAAGCGCCAGAAATGTTAGTCGTATCTCATTCACACACTTGATGCAAAATGAACTAACAATCATCCAGCTGCCGGTTCACGTGTTGCTATCTTGAGGGGTATTCCTCCAAACAGCCGCATTTATGACATCCAATCTCTCGTCTGGGGAGGCGCTCTGGAGAATATTATGTTCGACTCCAACCGCAACATCGCTCATGCTCGATTCTTCACGGCTGAAAGCTGCCAGAAGTTTTTCGAAGATACCGCCAACGGTATCGAGGTTCCGGGCAAGAACAGGCTCGTGATCTTCGTCGACCAAGCTCCTGGACCTCACTCGGTAAACGACGTGCTGCAAGCTTCTATTGAGCGGCATGAAACCCGATGTGTCTGTGCCCTCCAGGCCAGCACTCACTGGAAAGATGAGGAATTGAGAAAGCTGGCCGAGGGCAAAAACAAGCTCAAGCGTCAGATCGATGTTATCAAGCGAGGAAAGAACTTCAAGGGTGTAAGCCATACTATTACTGCTGCATCACGCGGATAAGAGTGCTAACAGTGAACGAAGGTAAACTACATCGAGTTCCGCTTCACCAACCTGGTTCACGCTCTCAACTTCAGTCGCGAACTCCGGGAGAATGAAGAGTGGGAGGAGTGCGTCATTTCGTTTGCCGAGGATCCTTGCGAGATTGCAAATGGGGTGCACTTTGGGGAGGTGGGTAAAGAAGCCAAGGCTATCTACGGATAGCTTTTGGCTTGCTTCCATCTCTTGTCAAGTCTCGGGATATGGTCAGCTCCTTGGGTTTAATATCAAGGCTCGTGGTTACGGTTTACGGTTCACGGTTCACGATTTACAGTGCATCTTAACGATTTGGTGAGCGGGATTGTTTCCCTTTGTGGGAACGGATATGTAATCGGCGTTCAAAAAGACGAGCAATGGTGGAGGACGCGCAATATGTCTGCTTGCGGTTGAGGTTCGACAGCTGTCTAATCTCTCTGAAGGACGTCTTTCATGAGCTACCTATTCAGGCGCGGTGTGAGACGGCCCTTAGCTGATGTCGCCAAAGGCACGTCGATACCTAAAATTAAGTAATGTGTACTTCTCCAAGATGATTATACAGATGGTGCATGTTGTGATACCAATGTGTGGGTGAGTGTGACTTCAGAGCTGTGTGGTTTAGTGTTCAGCACTTGATGTTGGAACATGAACTACCAACACGGCGGGGATGGAAGTGATGGAGCAGATATAAGAGAGGTTTTGATAAAAGGGGTATCGATTGATGAGATAGTGCTATGAAAACAAGTGCGATTGCAAGGGTGAATCGATCGCGACCTGAAAAGATATCGAGACCATCGACGCTGCAAGCTCAATTTGAGTACCCGCAACGATGGGATCCACCGATTGAATGATGCAACTTGATCCTGATCCATTGATCAGCCCTTTTTCGATGCTTCCAGAAAACGCGCAATCACATGTTCTCGTATTCCACCCAGTAGCCAGACGCGAAGCGCGTGCTAGGAAAGTTTAATTAAAGCCACGAGCAGGGATGTGAAATCCCCCCTGACATGGACTTCAGCCTTCCGTGCTAGGCACGAGTCACCTCTAACAAAAAGAAAAGCCCTGGCCCCCGGAAAATCATGGCTGTGTTGGCTGCGTTTTCCCCTCTCGCATCGTGCAGGTCGACAGCGCACCAGACGACACCAAACCGCCATACTCGGCTATCACCATCGCCATGGTCTCTGCCGTAGACATCATCACCTACATCGGTATCCCGCTCGCCGTGCTAGGCGTACTCCCCACCATCTACACGTGTCTCAAGAGCTACCTCACACTCCGCCAAATCACAAAAACATTGCGGCTCAACGGCGTTGTCGCAATAACGCGCTCGGCGCTCCTCTCCGGCATCGTCGAAATCGAGATCCCCCGTCGCAGCATCATCCCCCTAGATCGACATGATCCACGCTATTTTGGTATGCGGAGGGAGGAGCAGAAGAGCGGGTTAAAGGGGGGCAGTTGGACAATATTCGAGTGGAAGGAGATGGTGATTGGAGTCAAGAGTTACCGGTTGCAGTATCACGATGAGTTGGCGCAGCCACAAGCGGAGATTGATTTCGAGGCGCTGGTTGCGTTTCTATTGGATAGGGGCGCGGTGCCGGATCAGTCTGGGTGGGCGGATTTGAGGAATTCCGGGTTGTGGACGCCTGTGGGGACGAGGTTGTTGTGTGCGCCGGTTAGTGGGGATGAGGTGTTGAGTGTTAGGGGGAGCGATGATAGTGATGGGATTTTGAGTCTGGGGGTTTCGTGGAGGAAAGAATGGGATCGTAGGGGATGGGAGAGTTTGCCGCCTTATTGGACGAGGGTGGGGCCGCCGCTAAGGAAGGAGTGGGATGTGATTAGGGGGTTGGAGGAGATGGAGGCGAGTCCGATGGGAGAGGACAGCACGACGGCGAGCACGAGGAAGAGCGAGGGGGCTTTCTTGGATGATGATAGTGCAGCGAGTGAGAAGAACAGTGTCTCGCGATCACCAGTCCGAGTGCGGATCTCTGCCACGGGAGTCCAGGAAGCCTTTCGTGAGGATGATGCGAAGCGGAAACTCACATTACCCCATTTGCGCTCAGGGCCCCCAAGCAGTATTCCTTCGAATGACGCCACAGCCGGATTCTGGTTCTGCTGCGGTTCAACTGCCTTTGAGGCCCCCCAAAACGGGCTCTGGTCTTTCTCCATCCCAGCCGACATCATCGCCCTCGCGCGCCGAGAAACAGTGCCGTGCGGCATCGTCGTCCTCCTGGGCATCATGACCGACGACCAGGTACCAGCCTGGCGCACACCATCCTCGGCACAAGCCGAACAATTCGAAAAACATGTCAAGTTCATGGACCAAAACCGAAAAATGCAGGAGGAAATGAAGCTACCGCCGGACCAGAGAGAAGCAGCAAGACGGAAGAGGTTGGCAGTCGATGCTGCCGACTTCCACAACGAGATCAGGAGGAAGGCGCTGAGAGATGAGGCCAGGAAAGAGCAGGAGATTGTCGAGGCAATGCAGAGCCAGAAACTGCCTATCGATATGATTGCGACTTCGAACCTGCAGTTCCTGATACGCACATTCTCGCTGGCGCCTGAGATCACCGTTACACAGGTTGTAGAGCAGGTACTGTATGGTATGATTGCTGATGCCTCCTTCGCCAACAGGCTGGCGGTCATGTTGGATTTGTGGAAGAGTTGGGGTCAGTCGGGCGGTATGACCAAGGGGCATTATCTTGCGGTTAGAGAGGAAAAGATTATTTTTGCGTTGGCGAGTTGTGTGCTGTGGATGGTGAGGCGGACGGTGAGTGAGCCGATGGGGAGTGTTGTTGGAGATATGGGAGATTGTTTGAGGGTTTGGAAGAAGGTTAGACTGGGATAGGAGGGGGAGGGTTGATGAAGTATGGATTGACTAGTTGGCGGCTAAGCCAGCTTTATGCTTAGAATAATGATAATCATAATACAGGCTAGGGGAATACTACGCTCATGGCTGTGAAACTATATCTCATCTATTGCCGGTTAAACTGGTACTGAGGCCTCGAGTACTGGACTATATGGCTTATGAAATGAACAAGGCAGCCTCAATACAGATCGCTCCAGGGGGTCAGATTTCTGTTTGACGGGATATATATGTAGTAGTGATTGCGAGTTTGTTGTAAGTTGTGGTTAACCCTCGCCGTCCAGATATAAACTTGGAATCCTCGCCAACGCCCGACTGTAAGCCATGCTCGTCTGTACATATTTCAATTATATGCAACTTTATGTGCGGATTATTATAGATCCAAATTCAGACCCATGACGAGACGAAGATTCGGATAACGAGTCCGGAAAGGGAGGTCACCAGCACCCGTGAGGTTTCTCTATGTATTTACGATATCATGGAATAACATTCTGCATTGATTCAACGCTTAATAAAAGCACTCGAAGCGGCTTACCAGACCCCAAGCACAGATCTTAGAATTTTCGTTGCATTGTGGGAACAGTGGCGAAACCTTTGAAGCAGCGTTCACATCGTTGAAGGTTCCAAGCTTTTTAGCTTCTTTATACACAAAACTGCATATTTATTGACTTCATCTCCACTGTTGCTCTTTGCTGGTCTCTGTTATAGTTCATCGAAGGCCAGTCTAGGCCACTCAACCATCAAGCCGCTGCGTCCTTCCGTTTGTGTGACATAGGCAAGCACGACCGTGAGTCACCGCCACTACCACAACAACCAATCTCACCCGTATTCCCCGCCTCTCCTACCCTCTTTATTATCCCTTCTCCCAATGCTTCTCCAAGGCCTCCAGTTTTGACCAAGTGTATATTTCGTTTACAAAGGTCGAAGTGTATATATAACAAATCACATCCGATATGGTCCAGTGGTTAGGATTTCTGGTTTTCATGATAAGTGAAAATCCCAGACGGCCCGAGTTCGAACCTCGGTATCGGAATAACTTTTTGGTTTTGGGGATGACTTTGGTGGATAGTGAGGGTGTCGGGGGAGAAATATGGGCTTGGTTTTTGGACCGGGGATGAGTCAGATAGTTGTGACCATTACCATTTGAAAATGATGACTACTTTTGTAAAATATATTGATCCAGCATGCTTTTATCAGGTGCCAGTCACAAATGGTCGTATTCTTTAATGCTCGAGGCGTTCGTATATGTGGGTCGGTGCGATCTGACTCCGCTTCTCCAGATGGCTGTGCTCCACATTAGTTGAGGGAGGGTTCAAAAGCCTACAGCAAGGAATGATGCGTATAGACTGACCTAAATTCATGTCCACGTCAGAAGTTTTCTTGTGTTTGTAGATTTAGAATGAATCACAGAGCACCGAAGACCTCAATACCGTATAAACTCGGATATACAGCCCGGGCGTATAAGGGACTGAGGACCTTCCGAGTCTCAGAGAGGCGGTATATCGCAAGGAGGGGCATGTAATTGTGGGAGGCGTATATCTGAAGTTTTACGGTACGAGAGGCCTGAGCATTTGGACACTAAAGCATGATCGCTAGACAATGGGCCTTGACCCACAGACATGATTCGGGACAAGCTCATTCCCCGACCTTACTGCGAAATGAATTTTCGTCTTGCTGAATGCTTTTTGAGGGTTTGATTGCATTCTATCAACCAGTCCACCAACTCAAAACCAGTGTTCATCTTCGTCCCTAGAGTTGATATGAATGGAGGATCCGAATTGGCTATCAACATAAGCAGTGTTCCTTTGTACTAGAAAAAATCCCCTATAACAGTCACCGCCGTCAGACATGTGTTTTGCTGTTCCAGCTTACGTGTACCTCCCAAGCAGAAAACTTTCAGATGAAGTCCTCATGTCCCCTTTTTTTTATTTACCCCAAAGGACCAGCGTTGACCATTTCTACTGAACAAACTATTCTGAAAAATTCTTCTCGTAGCACCAAGGCGCACCGACACTTCAAAGCATCACAGGGGCGGCTTGATCTAGCATTCAACGCTAACAGCCACCGGTGAAAGTATGATAATGTTTCTCTCAGCTTCAACACGAGATAATTGTCTGATCTGTCATCACATACGATGCCCTCCGTCAGGCCACATTGAAAGACTTTATCTTGTCAAAAGCCTGTTGTCTCGCCCAATATGAACGTCATTCTTACCCGCTTCTAAAATCTGAGGACGACGTGGAATGTTCAATGCCACACTATCTGCACTTTAGATCATCCCGACAAGAAGCTCACAGCATACACGGTATGTAGGCGGAAGCTTATCTCCACTTCGCTCCTCCCTGCATCTGCACTACACCCGTACCTGCAATCTTGAAACGCCGCCAAACCCACCCCCCAATCCAATCGTCTAAATTGTCTAAAGTAGTAACCAGAGCGTCGGATTTGGCTGTTCCGCGTACCGAAAAAGCACGTCGTAAGTAGGCTGACCTTCGGTTCGGGCTCCTCACCGCAGGCATGTACGAAGTTTGGTCGCTTAGGCTTACTTACCTGGTCTCTCCCTTTAAGAATATCCATCATTCCTTGTATGTCGGGTCTGAGGGGCAGTGATGGTGATGACGACAATAATCACCAGGGATTGATATCAATGCTGATTAATACCACGTGATTGATGAGATTGGGGAGACTGGAATTGAAGAATTGAAGAATTGAGTTGAGAGCAAATTGTAATATCAAGCCCAGACGCCAACGCTAGTAGTGTAGAAAGATTCCTCCCTCCACGCATGCTAACACAGACATTCATATCCGATGGGTATCCATACGCAAACAAATCCCCACCCTCGTGTCTCTCCCATCGAACCATCGCAATCAAAGGGAAATATATCAGCTACATGATCAGGGAAACAAGAAAGGGTCCACCAAAAGTCAACCTTGCAGTTGACTCAAGGTTTGCGCCGATCACTGCCAGGCCTCCCACACCAGCCGCGATGACGCATCGCCTAAGAACCTCGCAAAAGCAAAACACAAGGACACCCCCAACCCCCAAAATTCGAGCGATCCGCAAATATCCGTTTCAAGCAAAATAAAATAAAGTGGCCAATGACACCGCACAGATAACAGCTTCCGATGCACTCAAACCGAGTCAAATGTCTGAGGTGTAGCCTGTTTCAAGCCCATGAAGCCGAGGAAATAGGGGCCACGTGATGGCGTCAACCCACTCGCATGCACGTAAGCATCCCAGTTGTCGCTCGTACGGCGTTATCGGGTCATCGATAAGAAAGAGAACATAATATCAGTCGGGCGCAAGTTGTGTCAAACATGAAGATCATCGTAAGATGGAATGTAAAGATGAGGGTGAAACAAAATCTGTGCCTGCAACGTTAGCCAGTATTCCAAGACTCTAATCTTGTACCTCCTCCCCAAAGAGGCCGCTTCCCCTGTAGTAGTACGTACTCTGGAGCGTCTACGCTCGTACGGCACGGGTACCCTTCTTGGCTGACGGAAATGGGGGGGTTGTACACCGGGTACCGGCACTAGGACTCGTGCGTGTCGGCGGAGGAGTCTGTTGCGTGGACCCATTTGCTGGAGGGTTTTGGATGGGCAGCAAGATGGAGAGAGGGTTATGAAGAGTCGGCATGGATGGCGCCGGCGCCTTCGCATACATGACACGTGACGTGACCGTCCTTGCAGTATCCGCAGCTTGCGCCGTTGCAGCTGTCGCACTTGATTGTTCCATTTCCGTGGCAAGTTGGGCACTGCATTGTTGGTCTCGAGAGTCGAGGTGAAGCGGTAGGATGAAGCGGAGATGCTGGATGCGGAAGTGGTCGCGGTGTTGGAGTTGGAGATTGTTGGGCAAGGTTGTTGGGGAAGGGCGCTGGTAGAAGGAATGGTGGGCTGTTTTCGAAATGTGGGTGTGACTCAATGGCCTCGGAATAGGTGGCGCCGGACAAGGAGAGGTAGGTGTGGATCGAAGGTGGGAAAGAAGGAATGGGTTCTGTATGTATAGGCAGGAAGGAGTGCAGTGCCTCAGAAACCAGCTTCGAAACAACAAGGTCGTCTAGAAGGAAGGGCAGTGCCGACGATCATCCTATCCTACCTTTATATATCCTTTCCCTAACTCGGACGGGCCAGGTTACCAGGGCCAGGGGTCCTCCCACGTCGTTGGTAACCTTGGAAATTCTTACTCACCCAATTCGGTACCACTGGATGGATAGTGAAGCGGTCGCTCAGCACCCGTTGCTCAGCCACGGGAAAAAGCAACAGCCCACCAACGTCCCTCATCATAACGTCCCTCATCATAACGTCCCTTGGTGTCCCTTCATTTTACCAGTGTCTTCCTCTCACCCAGTCAAAGTTTCCCCACTCCATGCCAGCTGCCTGGGTGCCCAACCCGGAAATTACAGCCGCAGCATCAAACGAGCAGAGCCACCAGTATCAATCGGGCAAAGCACCCAGTGAGCAGTAAGATTTCACATACGACTCCCACGCTGGCGTCTGCTGTGTAAACGCAAGACACACGCGCACAGCCAGTACATGCGTTGTACATGGCATTGCAGGCCAGAAAGCCACCAGTCCTTGGTCAGACCGGACGGGTAGCTCGCTGCTCGGCAGTGTCCGCAAATGTCCGGAGCAATCAGATCCGTACCCTCGCTTCTAGCGTCTTTCTCGGATGCGATTGGCGAAACTGGGATTCTCTCCAATTCCCGGGTGCGTGTCACCTTATTCTCTAGTCCCTCGAGTTGTTGTCAGGCTGCGGCCTGATATGACGCAAGACAAGCTGGCTGTGGACACAGCTGGACGTCGTGGGGGAGCAGCGGCTGTCCAACGATCCAAGCACGCGCCCCCAGCATTGGACAGGTGATTACTGGTTGCTCGGCAAGATAGCGCAGAGTGTAAACAAGGAAGACGAGCTCCGTGATGGCAGCCTGATATGCGTTTTGAGATCCTGATAAGGCATCGTCACACGTGGCACCTGCAACGGTGTTTTAGCTTGCGAGCCGAAGTGGTGGGTAGGGCTGAGCTACGGTTGGGCAATTCATGATTCACTTCGGGTGGGGACATTGCTTGACGAAAGCCGGGGTCTGGGGATGATGAGTCTGACGGCAGTGGCTTCTTCCCTTGTGAGGATTCTGAAACATGAAACATTCTAGATAACCAAGCAAGGGACACCAGGGAGAAAAGACCTCGGTAGTTGGAGGTAAGGTGAATTGCACGTGTTGTAATCATGTTTCAAGTACTGATGTTTAGAAGACCTACCTCAGGAAAACTATTCTCGACTTTTTTCCATACGAATTACGTACTTGAGCCAGAAATAATACTAATTTAGGAATTACTGGTACAGTCTTACCCCTGAACCGGAGATTTCACCCGTCTGTCGTCACAACAATTTGCCGTACGAACCATCCCCATCACAAGAAGGCATAGGAACGCAGAGTCTGAACTATCCATAGTAACGCACCTAAGATTCTAACTCTATCGAAATACATCTCTAACCATCAGTAGACCAGGGCAGATTGGAAGAAAGGGAGCGTAAAAACAAACACCGAGAACATCCACTCTGAAAATATATCGCTGGCCATCCCTCCGTCATAGAAACTCTCCAACCAACTCTACCATTCCTCTTGTGGTGAAATCTCATCTCTAGCCATATACAGCAGTAACGATTGCACCCGCAACCGCCCCCGCCGGTGCAAGTGTCGGCATGATGGCAGACACGGCGAAGAGGCCACCCAACACCTTACAGAACGCGTCGTTCTCTTCCTTCTTCTTGCATTCGATTGTGGTACTGATCCAAGAGACCCCGTATCCTGGCCCATTATCAGGTGTAGGCTGACTGGTCGCCTTCACTTTTGTGTATGCTGGCATGAATCGATACATGGCGTCGGGCAGCTCAGTGCAAAACCCCCCAGTATCACAGTTGAGCCCCTGTCCGACTTGAGATACCTCGGACTCACTGTACTGTGAGGTTGCGCCGAAATTGGCGAGCGAAGATATCAATGTCGACATGACAACCGATCCTGTGGTTTTGTCGTC